TATGCATCTATCACTGGTTTAGTCTCCTTAATCTTTTCTTGAAGTGAAAAACAATCTGAAGATTTGATTTCCCATCGAGATAGGAATACTTTACTTTTTTAAATGTTTATTTATTCTTGAGAGAGACAGAGCACGAGTAGGGGAGGGGCAGAGAGAGAGGGAGACACAGAATCCGAAGCAGGCTACAGGCTCTGAACTGTCAGCACAGAGCTGGACATGGGAACTGTAAGATCATGACCTGAGCCGAAGTCAGGCACTTAACTGACTGAGCCACCCAGGCGCCCCTAGATAGGAATACTTTAATGGGGCGCCTGGGTGGCGCAGTCGGTTAAGCGTCCGACCTCAGCCAGGTCACGATCTCGTGGTCCGTGGGTTCGAGCCCCGCGTCAGGCTCTGGGCTGATGGCTCAGAGCCTGGAGCCTGTTTCCGATTCTGTGTCTCCCTCTCTCTCTGTCCCTCCCCCGTTCATGCTCTGTCTCTCTCTGTCCCCAAAATAAATAAAAGTTGAAAAAAAAATTAAAAAAGACTCACAGGGGTGCCTGGGTGGTTCAGTTGGTTGAGCGTCTGACTTTGGCTCAGGTTATGATCTCTCGATTTGTGAGTTCGATCCCGTGTTGGGCTCTGTGCTGACAGCTCAGAGCCCGGAGCCTGCTTCAGATTCTGTGTCTCCCTCTCTCTCTGCCCCTCCCCAGCTTGTGCTCTGTCTCTCTCTCAAAAACAATAAACATGAAAAAAAATTTTTTTTAAAGACTCACAGAATTCTACAGAACAAATAAGTGGCTTGAAAAATGGATGAGGAGGGGCACCTATTTAAAAGAGAGTTAAAAGAAAAAAAATAAGAGTTATGAGACACAGCAATCAAATGCTACATGGGGGCCTTTTGGGGATCCTCATTCAAACCAATTGTACAAAGACATTTTAAGATAACAGGAAATTTGAACACGATTGGGCTTTAGGACATACTAAAGAATGTCTAATTAGGTAAGATAATGGTACTGTGGGTTATATTTAAAAAATCTGTTAGACATCCTTACTAAAATATATATTTTCTAACATTTATATATTTATTTTGAGAGACAGAGAGAAAGAGCAAGTAGGGGAGAGGCAGAGAGAGAGAATCCCAAGTGGGCTCCACACTAAGTGCAGAGTCTGATGCAGGGCTTGATCCCACAACCATGAGATCATGACCTGAGCCAAAATCAAGAGTCAGATGCTTAACAGACTAAGCCACGCAGGCACTCCACTTACTAAAATATTTACGTGTGAAATATGGGATTTACTTTTAAAACATTACAGAAAAGAAAAATGGGTTTGGGAGATACATGAAAGATTGGCAAAATATTGACACTTAGTAAAACACGGTGATAGGTACATCATTATGTGTTCTTCCCTCTTTTGGATATGTTTGAAATTTTCTGTAATAAAAAATTAAAAATGATAAAGAAATTCACAAAGAAATGGGAGAAAGGAAAGGTAGTACAGGGCTGGCATTTTGTGAGCTGACTGCAAAAATGAAACGTTTTGCTTACTGGGGACTAGCCCATCTTGGAGGAGCATGGATACATAACCCAGATTTCTGAACCCTGCTGGTCTTCCCAGGCCAGTTCCAGTGAGGCAGAGCCAAGAGACCTGGAAGGGAGGTGGGCAGGTAGATCAGGGTGAGAGCTAGGTCACCAGGAGGGGTGGCAGGGCTGGGGGCGAAAGCACCTAAGAAGCTCAGGAACACACCAGCTGTCCCAAGACCCTCTGCAGCCAGACTCCGTCTGCAGTCAGTATAGTCTACACGAGCCTCTCATAGCCACGGTCACGAGAGATCTTGATGTCTGTGGCCGAGGACTAATGACCCCTGCCCGCCTTAATAGCTTTAATGGGATATCACTCACATGTACAAAATTTACATATTGAAGGTATACTATTTGGTGGTTTTTGTATATTCACAAAGTTGTGCCACTGTCACCACTTTCCATTTTAGAACATTTTCATTCCCTGAAAAGAAACCTGTACCCATTAGCAGTCACTTCCCATTCTCCTCCCCCAGGCCCTGGCAACCACTAATCTATGTTCTGTCTCCATGGACAGGACATAAAACACAGGATCATAAATGTGGGTTTTTTTGTGATTGGCTTCTTTCTTTAGTGTGTTTCAAGGTTCACCCATGTTGTAGGCTGTATTAGCATTTCGTTCTTTTTTTATCGCTGTATAAATTCCACTGTATGGATGTACCACATTTTATTTATTTATCTATTTATTTGGACATCTGTATTGTTTCTCCTTTGTAGCTATTATAAATAATGCTCCTATGAACATTCATATGTGAGTTTTCATGTGGATGTGTGTTCTCACTTCTCTTGGGTACAGAGTGGAATTCCTAGGTCATATGGAAACCTTATGTTATGCATAACCTTTTGAGGAACTGCCAGACTATTATCCCAAGGGGCTACACTATATGATCTGCTTTTGACACATGGGGAGACTGAGGCCTAGAGAAGGCAAATGTCCTATGCAAAGCTACACAGAACTCTAAGTGCAAGAAAGCAGGAGCCAATCATGTAAATGGCCCCAGTCCCTGCCCATTCTCACCCTGCCACGCCCTCACCCACTGTTACCCTCTCCATTCCTTGCCAGCCAGCAGCAAATCCCTTCACACCAGTCCCTCCCAAAGGCTCCCTGCTATCACGTCAGGATCCAGTTCACCTCTGAGGGATGATTTACAAGCTGCCATCTGGCCCCATGCTGCCTCATCTCATCTTTTTTTTAAAGCTACTGTATTGAAACCTAACTCACACACCAGACTCTTCACTCATTTAAAGGGTCTAACCCAATGCTCTCACATCTTTTTATTCTCTACCCTTCAGGGCCACACAGGCCTTGTTCTGGTTTTGTGAAAATGCCATCATCTTTGCTTTCAGGATCTTGCACACCGTCTCCTCTGTCTGGGATAGTCTTTCCTTAAGTATTTCCCTGGTTCTGTATATATTTCCTCTGATCCTTCATATCTTGGGATGATACTTATGCTGGAAAGCCTTTCCTGACCACCCAGGCTGGATGGATGGCCTGCAGGACATTCCCACAGTGTCCCTTGGATCACCCTATCATGGCATTGACACATCAGTCTGAACTCTTAAGGTCTGGGAGTGTGGCTTGTTCACATGCAGCGTCTGGCAGATGGTCAGTGAACAAGTGAATAGAAAGATCTGAAAATATGTAACACGACACTGAGCATATTGTAGAAGTCCCGTAAACGTTTGCAGACTTTACTGCTTACCAGGACAAGGGCAATACCTCCTTCTGGTAACATTCCAGACAGTTTGTGTGATTAACAGGTAAAAATTATTATTTTTTCTTGTCTGGTGCCCTTGCCACTTTCTTCTGGCAACAGTACCCCAGTTTTCCTCTAAGGAATCACCTCTTTCCCACCTTTGGTCTTTATAGTTTAGGTGGGGCTAAATAGTCCCTAGAATTTACACATGACCTACATCAGGTCAATTACCTGACTTACTGGAAATTTTCAGAAAGGAGTGTTTTCTTTTCACTAAGCTCGTGTCTCCTTAAGAAGACAGCCTGCCTCAGACTAGAAGCAGAGTTGAGAAAGCAATGCAGTCATAATGACATCATTTGAGAACCTGGATCCAGCTATACCTGAAGCCAACTGACCAGTGGACATTCTGCCATTTACATTCCTTTTAAAAAAATTGCTTAAGCCAAGTTGAGTTTCTATAACTTGCAGCTGCAGCATTTCTCACCAGTAACCCTCCATGTCATTCACTTATATACCCACCCATCATACCCCTTTTGACCAAATAGAAGAACCACACAGGTTTTTGCCCCCAAATGCAAGTTTACCTACTATTCTCAAATCTAAGTCATGATTATTTTTCTGAGTTGTGTTGTATCTCTGACTGTCCATATTAAGACTTCTATGTGTGGTACTTTCCACACCATGATCAGTAAATGGACACTTCAGATTGTCTTAAATGATTCTAGGTGTTAAGTCCAGGTTGATGGAAAGGTTAGGTGCTCATTTAGTAGCCTGGCCCAAACTGAACTCCAGGAAACACACACGATGAGCACTGTATGCTGAACATGTGTGCTGATTCTGAGAAGAGCCTGATAAAACGAACAAAGGTTCTTCCTTTGACTAGCTGCTGCCAAGGACATGTGCATTTATCATCAACATGAGGGGTCAGAAAGAGCTCACATGTTTTATCCACCCACCTTTGCTACAGGGAAAAAGACAAACTTTGTGTGGGTGGAGGCAAAATGAAATGTTCAGAGATGCCTCATGGGAATGAGGGTGACATCACTCAGTCATCAAGTACTGCTTGTATTCCAACACAACCTGCCTTTTTCGGTACATACTATACCACACCCCACTTATTCAGAGCCCAGCAAATTGTGGACGTTTTTTTAAAAACAGGTTTTCTTTTTAAGTTTATTTTGAGAGACAGTGCAAATGGGGTAGGGCAGAGAGAGAGGCGCAGGGCTTGAACTCACAAACTAGGAGATTATGACTTGAGCCGAAATCTAGTCAGACGCTCAACTGACTGTGCCACTCAGGCTCCCCAATTGTGGACATTTTAATCTGTGGGCCTTTGCTGGTTCTATCCCGTCTGCTTGGAATGAGCTTCTACATTGCAGAACTCTTTTGAGACCGAGGTCAAAGGTTAGCTCCCCCTGTGAACCCCTGCTCCTTTAACATTGTGTTTAAGCAGCTATTTTAAATATCTTTAAAGGTCAGGTTTTCTTAGCGTAGGTCTGTAGGTCACTATGACTAGGCTTTGGACTAGGTTCCTGGAGTTGTCTGGGAACTCTGTGCGTCTGTGCCTGTGTGCATTACTGTGGAGGGGGGAAGGTCAGAACCACCAATTTCTTATGTGTCTCTCCGATGAGTTCCTTGAGGGCAAGGGTCACATATTTTTCATCTTTGATTCTTCAGCAATGATCCATAATGGACACTCATAACTGTGGCAGAAGGCTGTTAGTGACCCACAGAGGCAACATTTCACAGGCAGAGAAAAGAGGATGGTTTAATTGGTAGAGTCAAGAGTTGTTGGTTCTTGATTACAGTGTTCAACATGCAAATTACATTCGCCTCTTGGTACAGAAATGGCACCCTGCCACTTCCCTGGGACAGTTAATCCAGACAGAATGATTCCTAGGTCGCCCTTAACTACATGTCTGCCAGCAATTGCCCTTTCTCCCTTCTTACAGCGATATGCAAACTCTTACCCAGAATAACTGGGAAATGAGGTCTTTTGTTCAACTGAGTAGCCATATTCGGTACAGCACTGTGGATCTGTCAATGGATTTGATATGTTCTGAACTCCAGCTCAAGACCTCACATTATGTAACCTATCTTTGATGATCCCAAAGGCACTTGAGAATCCGGCAGTGTCTCAGTGTCGCCGATTTTCACCGGACAGTGTTAAAGAGATAGAAGGCTGGCTAAGTCTGTCCTAGCCCTGGGTATTCAATCTGCAAAGAGCTTATTTGAATCAGGTTTTGACATGTTTGCTGTCTATGTCACTCTGTAGGCTCAAAATGGAACAACACAGGGAGCTTTCACTTTGCTCATCCATAGCTCCTAAATTTTCAGTAATGAAAATGTATTATTTGTGTAAAGAAAGTTGTACAAATACTAACAAAAAATTAAAGGTAAAACACAGGGTGTTTGGATCCCAAGAAAACAAGCGCTCACTGTGGTCAGAAGTCAGGCTGATTGCACTTAATAACTAGGTATAATTGACAATGCTTTTTCCAAAGACTGAAGTTTCGCTAAGTTTTATATATTATTACTAGCTTGAGTATTCCCCCTTTGACTTTCATTACTAGAGTCATCAGAAGGAAAATGTAAAACATTTTAAAAACAGCTGTTTCTGGGCAAGTCATCCAGCACAACTCCTCAAATCTCTAGCTTCAGACATACAGGGGAACCCGGCTCAGACAAGAACAATTCTTGCTGCACACCTGCCAGCTCATGCATCTTCCTTTTTATTCCGAGAGGCTCCAGCTCAAACCAAAGTTACAAAGTCAAGCACTACTCTGAGTTCCTGATACAGCAAATCCCTGCTTGGTCTTCAAAAAATAGAGGTCTGTAATTCCTTTTTGAACATGCCTTCGAAGTGGAGGTCTTTGGCCATGAGCTCCTCTTCGACATCATCTAGTGCCCACTGGTGATCCGTCAGCTCCAAAGCTTCCCACTCTGTCTGCAAAGGAAGAGGACACCAGGGCAGGGAGAGGAGGGCTGTTACTAAGAGCAGTGCTGACCTGGGAGCATCTATTCCGCCTAGCAGCTGGACTAAGCTATTTGCACGTATAAACTCATTTAATCCTATGAGGTAGATACTGCTAATTGCCCGGTCTGCCTCTATGCTCAATTTATAGGTGAAGAGAATAAGGCTAAAATAGGAAAAATAATTTGTCTAAGTGAGTAACCGATTACATTTTTTTTCCATTTTTAAAATTTACTTTATTTATTTATTTTGAGAGAGAGCGAGAGCGCAACTACTGCTTTACTTTCTGTATCTTTGGATTCATGTATTCAGGATAGAATATGTGGCCTTTTCTTACTGGTTTCTTTCACTTGGGATGTTTTCAAGGTTCCTTCCTGTTGTAGCAAGTATCAGTACTTCATTCCTTTTTAAGACTAAATATTTCATTGAATACTTCCATTGTACATACACCGTACTATTATTCCCAAATGTTTCATTTTGTTTATGTGTTCATAAGATGACGGTACATGTGCATTATTTCTACTCTTAGAATATTATTCTTAGTGCTCTGAACTTTTCTTTCTTTCTTTCTTTTTTTTTTTTTTTTTTAAGATTTTATTTTAGGGGCACCTGGGTGGCTCAGTCAGTTAAGCTTCTGACTTTGGCTCAGGTCATGATTTCACCGTTTGTGGGTTCGAGCCCTACATCGGGCTCTGTGCTGGCAGCTCAGAGCCTGGAGTCTGCTTCGGATTCTGTCTCCCTCTCTCTGCTTCTCCCCTGATTGCACAGACTCTTTCTCTCTCAAAAATAAACATTAAAAAAAAAAGATTTTTTTGTTTTAATTTTATTCATTTTATTTTTTTTAAGTTTATTTAGAGAGAGAGCAAGTAAGCACATGATACAAGCAAGAGAGGGATAGAGAGGGAGAGAAACAAGCCCAAGCAGGCTCTCTGTGGCCAATGCAGAGCCTGATGTGGGCCCACAACCCTAGGACCGTGACTTGAGCCAAAATCAAGAGCTGGCCACTCAACTGACTGAGCCACCCAGGTGCCCCTTAAGACTTTATTTTTAAGTAATCTCTATACCCAACATGGGGCTTGAACCCACAACCTTGAGATCAAGAGGTGCATGCTCCACTAACTCCAGGTGCCCTTAGGAGTTTGTGTGGACATAGGTTTTCAATTGCCTTGGTTATTTACCTAAGTGTGAAATTGCTGGGTCATATGGTAGCTACGTATAAATTTTTATTTATTTATTTATTTATTTTTTCAACGTTTATTTATTTTTGGGACAGAGAGAGACAGAGCATGAACGGGGGAGGGGCAGAGAGAGAGGGAGACACAGAATCGGAAACAGGCTCCAGGCTCCGAGCCATCAGCCCAGAGCCCGATGCGGGGCTCGAACTCCCGGACCGCGAGATCGTGACCTGGCTGAAGTCGGACGCTTAACCGACTGTGCCACCCAGGCGCCCCAAACTTTTTTAGGAAAGGTTAAAACTGCTTTCCAAAGTGGCTGCACCATTCCCAGCAAGTAGGACAGTTCCAATTTCTCCACATCCTTGTCAATACCTATTAGTGTCCATCTGTTTTTATTATAACCATGGAGTGAGTGTGAAGTAATATCTCCTTGTGGTTTTGATTTGCATTTCTCCAGTGGCTAACAGTGTTGAGCATGCTTTCATGAGATTATTGGGTATTTATATAATTTCTTTGGAGAAATGTTTATTCAAAACTTTTGCCCCCTTTTAAACTGGGTTGTCTTTTTATTGTTGAGTTCTAAGAGTTCTTTATTCTGAATACTAGACCCTTATTAGAGATATGATTCGTAAACATTTTCTCTGATACTCTTTTCTTTCTCTTAATGGTGTCCTTTGAAGTACAAAAGTTTTCATTTTGACCCAGTTCCATTTACCTGCTTTTCCTTTTGTTGCTTGTGCTTTTAATGTTACATCTAAGAAGTCACTGCCTAATCCAGCATCACAAACATTTTACACCTACATTTTCTTCTAAGGGTTTTATGGTTTTAGCTCTTACATTTAGGTCTTTGACCATTCAAAGTTTTTCCTTTTTTTATTGTGGCGAGAAAGATATGTAACATAAAATTTGCCACTTCTAACCTTTGTAAGTATACAATTCAATGGCATTAATTACATCCACAATGTTGTGCAACCATCATCACTATGTATTTCCAAATTTTTCCATCCCCTGAAACAGAAACTCTGTACCCATTAAGCAGTTAAGACTGTTCTCTCCCCCACGGAACTGTCTTGGCACCTCTGTCAAAAGTCAATTGATATTAAATGTAGGGGTTTATTTCTGACCTTTCAATTCTATTCCATTGATCTGTATGTCTATCCTTATGCCTGTCCCACAAAGTCTTGATTATTGTAGCTCTGAAGTAGGTTTTAAAATGAAGAAGTATGAGTCTTCCAACTTTGTTCATATTAAATGCTAGTTGGGCTATTCTGGGTCTCTTGCATTTCCATGTGTATTTCAGGATCAGCCTGTCAATTTCTGCAAGAAAGGCAGGTGGAATTTGGATAGGGATTGTATTGAATTTGTAGATCAATTTTGGGAGTACTGCCATCTGGATAATATTAAGTCTTCTAATCCATGAACGTGGGTGTCTTTCCGTTCATTCAGGTCTTTAATTTCTTTCAGCAATGCTTTGTAATGTCACTATACAAATCTGTCTTTCTTCTGTTAAGTTTGTTCCTAAGTATTTTATCCTTTTTGAAACTATTGTAAATGGAACTGTTTTCTTAATTTCATTTTCAGATTCTTTATTACCAGTGTGTATAAATACAGCTGTTTTTTTTAACTTTTTAATTAGAAGTTAAAAAAATTTTTTTTAAGTTTATTTATTTATTTTGAGAGAGACAGAGAGAGCACAAGTAGGGAAAGGTCAGAGAGAAACGGGGACAGAGGATCTAAAGCAGGCTCTATGCTGACAGCAGACAGGCTGATGTGGGGCCTGAACTCACAAACCATGAGATCATGACCTGAGCTAAAGTCAGACGCTTAACTGACTGAGCCACCCAGGAGCCCCTTAATACAACTGAATTTTTGCATATTTATTTTGCATCTTCTAAAACCTTGTTGGACTTGTTACCTCTAATAGTTTACCTTGGGGGCTCCTTACAATAGTCTGTATAAAAGACAATGTTATCTGCAAATGGAGGTAGTTTTCTTCTTTCTTTCAAAAAAAATTTTTTTTAATGTTTATTCATTTTTGAGAGAGACAGACGTGAGCAGGGGAGGGTCAGAGAGACAGGAAGACACAGAATCTGAAGCAGGGTCCAGGCTCTGAGCTGTTAGCACAGAGCCCAATACGGGGCCTGAACTCATGAACCGTGAGGTCATGACCTGAGCCAAAATTGGATGCTCAACTGATTGAGCCACCCAGGTGCCCCTCTTCTTCCTTTGTAACATGGATGTCTTTTATTTCTTTTTCTTGCCTAACTGCCCTGGCTAGATCATCCAGCACAATGTTGAACAGAAGTGGCAGGAGTGGATGTACCTATCTTGTCCCTAATTGTTGGGGAAAAGCTGTTAGTGTTTCACCAGAGTTAGCTGTGGGTTTTTCATTAGATGCCTTTCATAGAGATGAGCAAGTTCTCTTCTATTTCTAGTTTGTTTGTTTTGTTTGTTTGTTTGTTTTTTAAATTTATTTATGTTGAGAGAGAGAGAGCCCAAGCAGGGGAGGGGCAGAGAGAGAGGGAAAGAAAGACAGAATCCCAAGCAGGCTCCACACTGCCTGCTGTAGGGCTCAATTCCACAAACCGTTGAGATCATGACCTGAGCTGAAATCAAGAGTTGGACGCTTAACTAACTGAGCCCCCCATTTCTAGTATTTATCATGAAAAATTAGTGATATTTTTCTGTACAAAAATTATACTGGATATATATACTGGATATATTCCAGAGTCATTTCATGAAAAGGCTCTAAGTATAGATTTTTTTTAAATGAAATTTATATCTGATGTCCACAGGGTCCAAACAGTTCAAAATATTCTATAAGTTTACCTGCTGCCTCTGAAAGGACTGTTTTTACAGTTTCATTTACAGTGTGGGTTAAATTTGTGTGAACATTTAAAAATTAGTAAAAGTACCAAGAATCTCCAATTCACTTAACAGCTGACTGTCTCAGGAACAGGAAACATGTAAACTTTTTAAAATACATTTTTTTGCTAAATTTAAATTTAAATTTAAATTTAAATGATGGAACCACACAAACTACACTCACTTCATGGAACTTATCTTTAGAGTAACTGTCTGGTAATGCCTTTCAGAGCTTCAGTGAAGCTAGAAGGAGGTGTAAGTGTACCTTGAAAGCTTTGTTGGTGTCTGCGGGCATGGCCATGGCTGCTCCAGTCATCTGCTCCTGCATCATCCGTGACTGGTCAGCGGCTGCAGGGTAAGATACACCTACATGAGTGCCAGGGTTCAGCAAGCACCCAGCACCCTCAGGGAAGAACGGCCCTTACACAATACTTGCAGCTGCTTAGTCGTGTGTTAGAGAACCACAACTGGCCCTGCCACACACTGGCTATGTGACCTAGGGAAAGTCACTTACCTCCTGAAAAATGGGAAGGGGAATAACAGAAGATAACCAAAGGAAGTGCTAAACTTTCTTTCAAATTTAAACAATAACAACATCTATCAGTTATTGAGTAACTACTTCATGTCAGGAGTGCTTTACATAGTCTACCTCATCTCCTAACAACCTACCCTGAAATTACTTATTAAGGTCTCTAAGGTACAAACAGGCAGAGGATTAGAGTGGTTAAGTAACTTGCCCGAGGTTCCAGCCATTAAACAGGAGAGCCAGGATTGGTGTTGGCAAGAACGCAGGTCAATGAACCAACTGGCCAAACCAGGCCTTCTTTCAGCTTCAGCTTACAGGCTTGCATCACTGGTCCTGGATTCCTCACATGAGGGTATCAGACTTCAGGGAACTAAATATTGTCCCTGTGATTGCCACAGAGAGTTCAGATCTTCAGGTGACCCTGGATTTTTATTCTTTTTTTTTTAAGATTTTATTTTTGAGTCATCTTTATACCCAACGTGGGTCTTGAACTTAACAACCCTGAGATCAAGAGTCACATGCTCCACCGCCTGAGCTCCCCAGGCACCCTGATCCTGGAATTTTTAAGACTCTTGTAGGATACCTTAGAAACTTAAGAATAAGTTTAAGGAGTGAAGTATTGTACTGAACTATGTCAACAAATAGCACAAACTATGTGAGTCTTCTGGCCCTGGCGTGAATGATTCGTCTATCAAAATATTTGCTTATTAAACCCAACGTATTTCTTACCATTATCTTGGCCCAGAATCAGAGAGTAAATGCTCCGAAGCCCAAAGACATTGAGGAAGTACCAAGATGCAGAACTCACCCTAGAGAGCAAAAGTGAAACAACATAGGGAGTTATTTTAGCATTAACATAGTTGACACTTTTCTATCACCCAAAGAGTATACAAAGAAATCAGAGAATGTAAAGAAATCATTTGGGGTAGGTAACAGTTGGCATAATCCACCCCTGGCATTTTGAGTGGAGTTTCAATGAGAAAAACCAAAAACCTATTCCAGTGAAGTGTGCAAATTACAAATCTTGTTCTTTAGGCAACACCACTTTTAGATTTTGGTTTGTGTTTTTATAAAGGAAAGAAAGTTCTTACCAGGATGCATCTAATGTGAGTAGTTCAATTCCTTGCTGTAGCATAGGTTTAAAACGGAGGGTCAGTGGAAATGGGACTTTGGCTGCAGAAAAGAGAGAAAAAGTTCACAATCCCTCCTTGCTTTTTTAAGAATAGTTTAAGTGTGGATGCATGTAATCTTTCCCTGATGAGGTGGGAACTCTGTACCATACAGAGTTTGGAAAATGATTTCTACCAGGAAATTTGTGTCAATTTCTGAAAAAATAACTGTCAGATGTCACTCTGTTATAGTTCCTTGAACACCAGCTTCTCCAATGCTTGCGAAGCAGGGACTCTGAGCTATGACCTACAATCAGAAAAGAAACTTGCACTAATCTGTTAAACCCAAATTGGAACATGTACACATAGAGAACTATGTTACTAAGAAACAAAATTGATTCAAAAAAATTATAAACAAAGACAAACAACTCACCCCAACACCTAGAAAATAAAGTCAAAACATGCTTCCCTTCATCCTACTTAACTAGAATTAATTTTGGATACAAACGAGCAAGCCATTTGTTTAAATTCCTATTTGAAAAAGCATCCATATCATGAACTTACCATGAGTTTGGAATAAGAGACAAAAAATCACAGGATATTAAATTTTTTTATTCAAAGAATGTGATTAGTTTCCAATAGAGAATATGGGGCCCATTATATTAGTGTCTCAACAGCACTGGGATTTCTCTGAACAAGGACATGGGAAAGGATCATAGATGAAGTAAACCTGAAGTATTCTGGGTCTATAACTTACTTGTGACAAAGCCTGAGAATGTCATGTTGATCCATCCACCAATAAGAATCATAGGGAGAACATTTGTTACATTGCCTTTCATCATGTCTGTGAGCATAGTGGGATCTATAACAAAAACAAGAGACCACTACATTTTATGACTGTCGACAAAGACTTCTTCCTGATTTTGTGTAAATTTTATTTTTTTAAATGTTTATTTATTTAAGTAATCTCTACACCCACCGTGGGGCACAAACTCATGACCCTGAGATCAAGAGTCACAGGCTCCTCTGACTGAGCCAGCAGGTGCCCCTTAATTTATTTGATAATTAAAGTAATACACAAGTTCAATGTAAAAAAGTCAAATGACATGGAAACATAAGATTTAGACAGTTTCTCTGAGCCCACTCTCTAAACACTTTGTGTTGCATATCTTTCCATCTTTATACATACATATATAAAATATGCACATATATGTACATACACAATAGTTTCTCTCTATATATACACAGTTAAAGGATACTATGCTTAAATTCTACTCCTTAATTTTGAAAAGATAAATATATTGTGACTGGTATAATGTCCCTCTCTTACTGTTTTCAGTGTCTTCATAGGAGTCTACTGTGTGTGGTCACACTACTTTTGGGTGGATCTATAGGTTATTTCTAATTTTTTTCTTTTTTGCAATAAACACTGTTGCCAACAACTACCTAGTACACAAATCTGCATGTTTATGTAAGTGTTTCTGTAAGAGAAACTCTTAGAAGAATTTCTGGGTCAAGGGGTTTGAACATTTAAAATTGACAGATACTGTCAGACTGTCTTTCAACAATAGTGAGGGCCTGACGTCCCATGACCCTGACAGTAGCAGCTTTGTCAAGCTTTCGATCTTTGCCAGTTTAACAGTCTAAAAAGGACATCTTGTTCTAATTTTCATCCTGTGGATTTTAGCGAAGTCAAGTATCTTTTCACACATGTAAAGGTCTTGTTTCTTATGGGTTTTCTAAAAGATTTATTAAAATCAATTCCAGTACCTTCTGTCTGGGTTTCTTACCTAGAGAAATGGGTATTAAAATGCGAGAACAGCCAATACAGAATAATAAATTATTCTGTTTTACTTTAAAAGTGCTATATTTTTTCACATGACTGGAATGAGTGGAAGAAATCTGTGAGAGCAAAAACTGTAGGGTGGGCCAAGCAATCATGTCTGACAAAGAAATGGCTGGGCTGGGGGAGTGGTAAGAGCTCCTCCTCATTCAGGCAGAAGCCGGGTGGCCATCTGTCAGCAACAGGATCCAGGCACTGGGTGGGAGCTGGGACTGGGATGCTTTTCCGACTCTGCTCCGCAGAGCCCTGGGTCCTGGGGAACAGCAAAGGGAAGAAGACACAGGGACGGTGGCTCTAGCCTCCTCACCCCCAGACGAGAGCTCTTTTTTAAAAATCCACTTTATACACTGGGGTTCCCAGAAGATTTATTTGAAAAAGAGAACTCCACTTGCATAGGTTCCCCATACTAGATATCTCTAAGGTCCCTTAGATTACTATCTTACACAATTTAACATTTCAATAAATCAGCATCCTCCCTCCCCTCCCCCCAACTCATGTTAAGTATCTTCCTTAAAGGTGACAGAAGGAATCAACATACCAGTCATAGGAGAAGGAGGCACTACCTTCCTTTTAGTTTTTTTGAAAAATCCATCCTCTGGGTTGTTGAAGTAATATTTTCGTGTCAAGAAAGACTAGTAGAAAAGAGAGCTTTTTAAGTTTTAAAACTGTGACATAGCAAACTGTCAAATTATTCCCCAGAGGTTGAGTCAGAAGGCCTTTGGAATAGGCTGTTGCACTCAGAGCTGGCAGCCAACCTGACACTTTAGCTGAGTCACATTTAAAAACAATTTCCTAAGAAGGGTGAGGTCACAATGACAGTAGACACCACCAGACCACAGCTTAATTACAGATTTGCCAGACTTCAGCTTTCCCCAAAGAGTCCCCTCCCTTATAAAACATTCAGATATCTACTGCCCTCAACAGTGAATTGGGGAGCTTTTAATAAAAGATAAATGAGTACCTGTTTGGGAATGTATTTTCCATTTTCCCTGAGGACTCTGCTTCGAATTAGGACTTGACTGAAAAATACAACCAAGACAATGAGATTTTTAAAACCGAAACACTAGAAGAAAACGAGAGAATAAAAGTAGACCTATTTAAACACAAGAGAGGGCCTATTTGGCAACAGTCCTGTGGGGACACTTGTCAAAACACGAGTGTCCTTAAAACCAATATAACATATTTAACCCAACAATTAGGTTTTCAAAGAAGCATTTTTCAGAAGTCACAGTGTTCATGACTAAAGATTTCTTAGGAAGACATATTTGGAACATCACACTCTGCTCTTTTTTCCTTTATAATAAGCTAAGAAGGAACTTTCTCTGAGTGAAAAAGAGTAACAGTTGGATGCTCCTCAGAAGATGTGAGGGCAGGAGGAGGGAGGAAGGGTGAAGATAAAAGAACAAACTTTTTAAACCCTACAGAGACATGACTACAGGATTTGACAGGGTTGCTATCTGACAGACAACAAATAGAAGAAATTCCATCACGATTCAGACTGCTAGTAAACTCTCAATAAACGTTTCCTGAATTAGTACATCATTTGGTGATTTCTGAATATAAAATCATTAAAGAGAATAACAGACAGTGATACAAGTGGGTGGTGCTAAGATACACATACCATACAGAACAGAGATCAAAATACTAATGTTGGCTAGGTTTTCAAAAGTTGTTTTATTGGGGGGAAAAAAACCTCAAGTTAATGGAAATCCTTCTTGAAAAGTGAAAAAAAAGCAGACAGAAATGAACAAAATGAAAACTGTGTGCCTGGTTTTCTCTCTCCTCCTTAGGTGTTGTGTTTGTTTGTTTTGGTTTGTTTTGTGCAAAAAAAGGTGATTTTGTTAAAGCACAGGATAGGACCAGTGGGCAGAAAAGACCTGCTCTCTCTCCTCCTTAGTATAAACCACCTGCTCTAATCAGTCAGTCAGTCCCCTTAGGGTCCCCTTGTCACCATATACATATTCTAGCCTCTCCATCTGCTGGGAATGCTCTAGTGCCACTCTCCTTCAGGAGTTCTACCCCATCATATGTTAACACCTTCTTCAAGCCCCACCTTCTCCATGAAACTGCCTGGTGCCCTCATGGAATTCTCTCTGGTCTTCCTCCTCTTGACTTCATTGGCTCTATACCCAGGCCTACAGAGGTGACATGTAATATGTCCTGCCCCTGGGAGCTAATCTAAAACTACTCCAAGTGTGGCCTACGTACCAATGCTGGTCTGTGACGAGGTTAAGTGCAGACATTGAGAGTAAGTGTTTAGAAACTTTTATAGGGGCGCCTGGGTGGCTCAGTTGGTTGAGCATTTGACTCTTGATTTCGGCTTGGGTCATCATCCCAGGGTCGTGGGATTGAATCCCATGTTGGGCTCTGTGCTGAGTGTGGAACCTGCATGGGATTCTCTCTCTGTCTCCCTCTGTCCTTCTCCCCCGCTTGTGCACCTGTGTGCTCTCTAAAATAAAAAAAGAAAAAACCCAAAACCAAAAAAACATGTTAAAAAAAACCTTTACAGTAATTTGTTATTCCACAACATCCAAATATATACTAAAATATCTTATAAAAGCACCAGTCTATGATCGATTAGAAATCAAAAAATCAAAAAACTGGACCTTCACTGATGTTTAGGCAGCACTGAGTCTAGAGTAACAGTAAAAATTTAAGCTCTGGGGGCGCCTGGATGGCTCAGTTGGTTGAGCATCTGACTTCAACTCAGGTCATGATCTCGCAGTGCGGTGTTTCGAGCTATGCGTCGGGTTTTGTGCTGACAGCTGGGAGCCTGGAGCCTGCTTTGGATTGTGTCTCCCTCTCTCTCTGCCCCTCCCCTGCTCATGTGTGCGCCCGTGCGTGTGCGCTCTCTCTCAAAAATAAATAAACATTAAAAAAAAATTTAAGCTCTGGAGTTGGACAGATGGGTTCACATCCTGGCTCTGCCAGTTATCAGCTATGTGATCTTGGGTGAGTCATTTAAATTCCCCATGTCTCCTTTCATATTCTGTATACCAACAGATTTATTCTTAGACAAATACTTTTTGAGCTTCTGAATGCCATGTACCATATTAAGTGCATGAACAACAGTGATCAAAAAGCAAATACCTCATAAAGGTTAAAGTCTAGTGGGAGAGAAAGACATTGATCAAATAACCATAAGAATAAATGTGAAATTCCCCTGTTATGTTCTAGGAAGGAGAGATGGATATGATGGGAGTGTATAATACAGGGATTTGATCAAGTCTAGGAAGTCAGGGTCTGAAAAAAAGCTTTGATGAGGATGTATGACTAAGTTGGAATCTTAAGGATGACTAGAGATTACCTTGGCAAAGTGCTGGAGGGAACGGCATGGACAAAAGCCCTGAGGCAGGCATAAGCACTATGTCTTTGAGGACCTGAGAAAAGGCCACATGGCTAGAAGAAAGAGAACTACAGAAAACATGGTGAAAATGAGACTTGAGAGATACACAAGAGCCACACTATACATAAGGCCACATGGGTCCCACTGTATTTTTTTAATTGTGGCAAAAAATACATAATATAAAATTTACCAATGTAATCATATTTAAACACAAAGTTCAGTAGTACATATACATATATAAACACAATGGAATATTATCAGGCACAAGAAAGGAGATCCCGCCATCTGCAACAACATGGTTGAAACTTGAGGGGATTATGCTAAGTGAAATTAGCCAGACAGAGAAAGACAAACACTGTATGATCTCACTTTTATATGGAATAAAAAAAAAAAAAAGTCAAAAAGAAAATAGAATGGTGGTTACTGGGGGCTGAGGGAGATGGACAGATGCTGGCCAAAAGGTACAGTTAGAAGATGAGTAAGCTCTGGGGATTTAACATACAGTACGGTGACTAGAGTTCATAAAACTGTGTAATGTACTTGAAATTTACTAAAAGAGTAGACCTTAAGCATTCTCAACATCAATTAAAAAATGTTAATTAACTGGATTATGGTAATCAATTCAGAAAGTATATGTATGTCAAATTGTCATATTCTATATTTCACATAGCTGTAAAAAAACCCTGAAATTATGACATACTACAATACAGATGAACCTTGAAAATGCTGTGCTAAGTAAAATAAGATGGGCACAGGGGGACAAATATTGTATGATTCCACTTACATAAGGTATCTAGAGTAGTCAAACTCATAAAGACAGAAAGAATGCTGTAGAGTGGAGACGGGATGGAAAGTTATTACTTAGTATGTTCAGAGTTTGTTTGGGATGATGAAAATACTGTGGAAGTGGATGACGGATGATGGCACAACAGTGAAAATGTACTTAATGCCACTAAATTGTATACTTAAAAATAGTTAAAATGGTAAACTTTATGTTATGTATATTTTACCACAATTAAAAAAAAATTTTTTAACGTTTATTTATTTTTGAGACAGAGAGAGACAGAGCATGAACGGGGGAGGGTCAGAGAGAGGGAGACACAGAATCTGAAACAGGCTCCAGGCTCCGAGCTGTCAGCACAGAGCCCGACGCGGGGCTCAAACTCACGGACTGTGAGATCTTGACCTGAGCCGAAGTCGGCCACCCAACCGACTGAGCCACCCAGGCGCCCCTATTTTACCACAATTTAAAAAAAAAGAGTGGGTACATGTCTGGCTCAGTTTGTGGAGCATGTAATTCTTTTTTTTTTTTTTTTGAATGTTTGTTTATTTTTGAAGGAAAGAGAGACAGAGTGTGAGCAGGAAGAGGGGCAGAGAGAGGGAGAATCTGAAACGGGTTCCAGGGTCCGAGCTGTCAATGCAGAGCCTGATGACGTGGGGCTCAAATTCACAAACTGTGAGATCATGACCTGAGCCAAAGTAGGTCGCCTAACCGATTGAGCCACGCAGGCGCCCCATGTGGAGCATGTAATTCCTCATCTCAGGGTTGTGAGTTCGAGCCCCACGTTGCATGTGGAGTACTTAAAAAAAAAAAAAAAAAAGGAGAAATACTGAGGATTTTAAACTGAGTTCTTCATATATGTTATTTTGTTTAAAGTGATTACCACTGTATTTGGCATATCCTAAGCACCAGGTTAATGGTATTTGTTATTTTTCTTTTGCATGTTTTATCACTTGGACTGAAACTCCCTGACAGTAGGGTCTTGACCTTGTCTTATCTTATACCCCACAGCATATGGTACAGCACAGGGCACATAACAGGTCATCAATAAAAACTTGTTCAGCGTAGGTAATTCAGAACTTCTGCAGATACTGTGATCAAAGAAACTCAGGTACATCTCCTATACTTACACTGCTGAGCAATTTCGTAGAATTGGGGTTAAAACCATGACCCTGAAGCATTTCAACCCTAAATCAAGGTAAACTTAAATTATCTTGTATATTCCAAACACTCACTTTCTCTGAGGTCTGCAAATGCTACATTTTTTTTTT